GGAACCAGTCTGAGTGACTAAAACTCTCTTTAATAAACTGGGAAAAGTTAATGAACCAATAACTTCTAATTGCATACCAAGGTAATATACGCAGCAGTTTGTATGGCAAGTGTATTACATTTAGAAGGAGTTGAGGTAAGCGATGGTTTTGCAGATAAAGATAACTTCAGTTTAAATATATTCAGCCTCCTCAGATATTTTAATGCTCCCAAAACATCTTTCTGAATATGTTAGTGAAAGATAAGTATACATATTTGAATAATAATTTTATTTTGTATATATTGAACAAAAGGGTATCAGAGGCTATGTAGTTTGGCATTAAATTATATAATGACAGTTAGATGTGGCAGTTATTGCATTGAGGTCTTAGATCTCACAACCTTTTTCTTTTAAAATAAAAAATGTGAGAGAGGCAACTTGAAATAACCTTTGATAATTGGTAAATGCAAAAGTGAATTCATTTCAGGGAGTGAAGCTGGAATGGTTCAGGTAAGCTTTATATTTTTATAACATCATGAAACTTTGACATGTTGATACAGGCAAAATGCTAACGCTTTGCTGAACAGTGGTTTTAAGTGCATGTTTGTAGTACATCTAAAATCACTTAGCTTGTTGAGAAATGACATTAAAAAAATCCAATTACTGTACAAACCAGGCTTTTTAAATGTAAAAGCTACTATGTTTTTCAGTGATGAGGAAGCTTAAAAAAGACCTGCTACCAACTTAACTACATTTATCATAACAAGTACGAGTTATTTGTACCCTGTAGATGACCTGTGTATATTTGGAATTGTTTTTGTAACATCATAGTAAGAGGTTGTCTCAGCTTTAAAAAAATTGCGTTCTAAACAGCGTAGGAACCAGGGAGTTATATTCTGTACCGGTGAGGAGCTCAACCGTACAGAAATAAGAAATGAATAAAGTATGTTGTTCCGAAGGCCATCTGAGGATCTGCCCTGTGCTGCTTGTCACCATTGTGACTGCAGTAGATTGCTCCCTTTTTAGATTGGCTGAGGTAATTCCCTAGTATCAGCCTTTTAAAGTGATGTGAATTTAAACAAATGTTTAAAGCAGCCTAGGTAATGTTGAGAGAGCTCAATTAGGAAGCAGCCACAGATGTTGCTCTGTAATCAATAGGTGAAACCCTGTTGGGAAAGGGTGAGACTAGGAAAGAGGCAGAGGAATAACAAACAGTTACAGGTGGGTCGCAGACATTAGTTTATTAACTGAATTGTGCTACTGCTAGAACAGTATAAAATGACAGCTAGATGTGCTTTAATGTCGTAGAATAAAAGAATAAAGCCTCCAGGGTTTAACAGTTGTTGTTTGTTGCTAGGGAAGTTAGTCCTTATACTTTGCCTGGCATAATAGGGCCCTGCTTCAGTGTAGTGTTTGCATCTAAAATAATTAAAAGCAGTCTCCTGGTTGTCCTGCCTGTCTGTTCCATTAATCACATGATTAGCTTTCTGTTTGTCACATCCAGAAAAGTTGACTAGAATACATAGTCTTGACTTGTATTTTTAATTCAGAGCAAATCCTGGAACAAACCAAATGTGTATGCTCAGGATATTTTTTCAGGATACAACACGCACGTAATGTGTCGGTGTATACAGGAAGTACCGTTCTTGGAATAGTCTTGCTCTGCTTTATACAAATCTTTATACAAAAAGATTTATTTTTATTTATAAAAAAGATTTATACAAAGATTATAGAATCTTTATACAAAGATTTTGCAACATAAAAGTAATCTAGTTGGTAAAATTGATTTCTTGTTTTGACTTTGTGAAGTCCTTGCCTCCATGTGAGGCATCTGAACTGTTTACCTAGCATTTGCTGTAAGAATGCAATTAATCTACAATTTTTATAAGCTGAAATCTGAATTTTCACTTTTATTTTTCCACAGATTATTGGTTTGCTTGTGTGAGAATTCTTCTCCTTTTACAGGTCATGTGTTGAAAAGCGTTGACCTGAATAGTACAGCAGCAATAGTAGGCCTCTAAATATTTTCCAAGTTGTAAATATGCAACAGTTCAATGGCTGTAATGTCACATTCATGCTTGTAAGGAAACTGAAAGTGTACAACTGATTAACTTTGCTATTCAATTCTGTGGCAGTAGGCATGGGGGAGCAGTTCATTTCAAGGAAGGAATGTGAAGGTCTCAATGAAAAAGTTGGTGTATTTGAAGTAAAGGGGGAGCCTGGAGATAAGCACATCACAAATTTGCCTATGAATTTCCTGAGCCTGAGTACCTGTCCCCTTTTAAAATCCACTCAATAGCATTGGGGTGCTTTTGCCTCTCAGCAACCACTTTCACGTTCTCATTCTGCCTTTTCTATATAGACTGCTGTTCGTAAGTGCTGTCTCTTGTCCTTTTTCAGCCACTGCTTGCAGTCAATAAATGCTTCTAATCCTGTCGTTTCTAGGAAGGGTATAATTAAAGCAGAGCTCTGTTATTGGTAATACTTAGTACTGGTATCATTAATGACTTAAATCCACATTCTTTTTAATTAAAACCTAATTATATTTACTCTGCTTCTCTCTACTTGAGAGAAAGCAATATCCTGTTGTTTTTGTCATTATTTAAATGACTTGAGTGAACGAGGTCTTCTGATAACGATAGTGATGGGTAAAGATTTGATTTTAGCATGGAACAGTCCTTAGCTTAAGAAAATCTGGGCGTCGGGGAGGGAGAATAGGATTTGTATCTTCTTTCCAAGACAAATAAATGCAATTCTGTCTACATTAACTGTTGATTTCTACTAAGAGGTACGTTTTACTCCTGCAAATGTATTTTCTTGTTAAACTGAAAAATTTAAAAGGAGCAGAAATATTTCTAGAAGTAAGTTTGAGATAAGCGGTCTCCTATACAGAGCTCAAACTATTGTAAATTAGTAGTCTAAAGCATTTAATGTCCAAATCTCCCACATGTGTAATGGTTTGTTAAATTGAGCCAAGTGGCAGTAAGATTTGCGGCTGCCTAGGGAAAGTAAAGGGTGTTGAGAATGTAAAGCTTTTAGCCTCGTGGTAAAACCCACTCCTCTCAACTGGGGGCATGGGCTTGAATGTTCTCTTCCATATATTCCTTTGTAAATTGGCAAAAATGTCACTTTGGTGTAGATAAATTTTTGTCTTTAGGCATTATTGATGTAACTGCTAAACCTGTTTCCTCCCTTCCAGACAGATCTTTATTTTTCTTTGAATTTTTTTTCTCTCTCAGAAATAGTGAGGATTCCCCTTAGTACTTGTTATATTCTGCTTAGCATTAAGTGTTCAGCAGCAGAAAATTCTGCCTGATGGCTAAAACACTGTTGTTACTACCATCCATTGAGAAAAGGTGAAATTAACAAAAAATTTGTTTTCCTCTATCTCTGTCTAGTATATAACAAATTATATATAACACACATATAATCTAAATTTAGGAATTAAGGAAACATTTTTGTATGCAAAGAGATTAAGAAAACAAATTTTTGTATGCAAAGAAATATGGGGGCTTAAATTAGAGGTGACTGGAGAATGAATGTGGTAATACTGTCAAAGTTCAGTTATAAAACAGGTGTTTAGAACATTCAGTGTTTATGAAATGTTGATGGCAATGTCTGAAATACCTCTATTTTGAGAAAAGTAAAACCAGACTTCAGTTACAGGCATGTAAATGAGATATCCTGTGTTTCTGTTCAAGTCTTTGTGCTTTATTCTTTGTGTCTAATGTTCATTTTGGGGATTTTCTTGCAGTTTGCTTCTTAACCCTTGCACACTTTGAGTTTTTAGAAGAGTTCACAAAGAAAGTGCTTTTATCACTGATCTAGAAGTTTGCTCAGTGACGTTTGTCTTCTGTGCTGCCGTATTGGTCTGATGATTTGGCAATGATCTCTGTATGCCTCGGTGATAAAGAGTTTCATTTGTGTAACTGTCAGTAAGACTTCACAACCTGACACAGCACTCTGAAGTTCTTGGTAATAATTTTTTTTTGTTGATTGATGGGCTGGGTGAGGAGTTTGGGTCCAGAATGAATGAATGGCCATCAGACCCTCCTTCTCTTTTTTATTGCTGATGAATCATGATGAATGATGATCACATTCTGGCTACTATAGAAAAGTCTGTAAAGAGTCTTTCTTCTGTTCAGTGGTCTGTGGGCTAATTCTTAATGAGACTGTGTGTGCCACTTTTCCTCCTTTTAAGTTGAAAAGCTTGCTTTGCATGCTGTTTGCATTTGGATTGTTTGATTTCTGTCTTCTGTGAAATGGCTGTATTTCCCTGAGATGGTTTTGACTGCATTGGAAGGAGAGTGTGCTTAAGTGCAGGAGTATAGAGAACATAGAATAGCTGATGGAATCTCAGACTGAAAGGGAAAAAGTATAAAGGTGTTGAAGTGTTTCTTCTAAAACATTCATAAACTATGAGCAGTACTTAAAAATAACTAGTAAGATTATACAAGAAGCTTTCATAAATACATTGTAAATGCATAGTATTTTCCCCTGGTTTATAGTGTAGTATCGATTGATTCTTTAGATTATACATGTCTGCAAATCCTATATTAGCTGCTCAGTTAATGCATACTATAAAGTAATAAAATCAATGTAGCTTTGTACTTCACATTTTGTGTGAAGGAACAGTTGTGTGGTTCAGTTTCATGTGCTAATTAAGGAGAGGGTTCAAGTTCCAGTGACCTGGATTTCCTGTTTATAGTCTTCCCTACGTAAGAAGGTAAGGCATTCTTTGCAGGCCTCTCTAAGTGAGAGGTAATGTATGAACACAAGTAACAAATTTTATGTGTTTTTATTTCAGTACTCAATCTATTTATGAATGGAGCTGTGTTATTAAAGATGCTAAACACTATGTGTTATACAACTCAGCCTTTTTTTCACATAACTTCTAAACACCTGTAATATTTTCTTAGTATCTCAGTTGATGTAGTCTGCCAAAATAGTTCTGTTGATAGTTCCATTGTAAGAATATCAGTTCTGTGTACCAGAAATAATAGAATACTCTTCATGTTTAGATGAAGAAGATGACTTTGTCAATAAAAAAATTTCTCTGAAACCAAAGGAGAATGGGACATCAGCAATCAATTGTCCAGGAACAGCTACAGTGAAAAAGGAAGATGTAAAACCACGAGCTAAAAGCAAACCATTATCTCCAGTGAAACAGACTCCCACCTCAGCACTTGATTACTTTGGGACAAGTAGTGTCCAGCGATCAGAAAAGAAACTGGTAGCAAGTAAAAGGAAAGAAGTGAGTACTGATGATGTTGCTGTATGCTGCTCATGTGTCTGATAGCAGATCGGATGGCCAATTTAATGACTGCAAGGAGGTACTTAATTGCTTGTCCTACTTAATGTTACTTTTTAATGGCCACTCAAGTATTAGTTCTATTTTGATGATATGTGCAGGCATATTAAGTCCTCAAATGCAAGTTTAGAGTTGCATTTCTGTGTTTGAGAAGATAGCACAAAGCTGAAAGTAGTATTTTTCCCTATTGCTGCTTCTTAAGTGACTTAAGTATTTTTCTGAGATTAGTTAGTGGACCGGGTAGTTTACAGTTGGCAGTGGAGGGCAGGAGGTTGTTTTCTCAAGCTTGATGCCACATATATTCAGGGAATAAAAAAGTACCAAATAAAGTATGGAGGAAATTAACAATGCACAATGTAGTTACTGATTTCTCTTTCAAGCAGGCCAACTGTGATAGCTTCAGAGATGTTCAGCATTGTTAGAAGAAATTAGGTATTTATATTATAGCATGGTTTTGTTTTGAATAATAAAAATCTCTTGGGAACAGCCCTGTTTAATAATGTTTAGGTTAGAGAGCTAGGAATAAAATGCTGCATGTCTCGTTCCCAGTCCTTTTCTAGAAGTATACAGAATGAATCTGTATAGATTAGATTATTATAATTAACGCAATATTGGGGAAACTGAACTGTTGGTCTCTTTTTTCTTTTTTCTTTTTTTCCCTCTCTTAAATATAGCCCTCACAGAGCAGAGACAGTACACTAAATGATGAGGCCATTGCTAGGCAACTGCAGCTTGAAGAAGACTCTGAGGTAAAAGCTCTCTAAATCTGCTTCTCTCAATGAAGTGAAGTTTGTTTAATTTAAATTTGGTTTTATTAAGAAATTAGGATGGACTTTCCATGTATGATATAAGTAAGTGTCATAAAATTCATCTGTATACTTAACTTGAGCGCGTATGTGTAAACATATTCACACAGTTATTTTTATGGTCATTAAGTTACATAATAACATTTTACTTAATCTGTCTTCTGTCTGTTCAGACTTTCTCTTACCTGTGCAGACAATGAATTGATGTCTGTATAATGCTGGTTTTGACACAGAATTCACATTCTATATCCTTCTTCCTCCCCTCCCACTCCCACTTTTCTCATTACTTGGAGTGAAAATTAACCCTTTGCCATCCATGATTTGTTTCATTGGTCATCATTCTTGTACTTAAGAAAAACTTCCCTGTTTGATTTAATGCTAATATGAGGAAAAGGTATGCTTGCCATACATATTTACTTGCTTTTGGGAAAAAGTTTTTTTCCCATATGTTGATAATATTATCAACATATTTTTATTATTATCAATAATATTATTCAGTATCACTTGAAATAAATATATAATACACGCAAAAACTTAATCTCATTCTTGACACCCCTCCCACCCCCCCCCAAGGTATAATGAATCTGGCTTTTATTAATTAGAATGTAAACACTGTGTCAGGAAAAATAAGGTATTGCTTTTCATTTGAAATGAACATGGAATCACAGAATGGTTAGGATTGGAAAGGCCCTTAAGATTATCTGGTTCCATCCTCCCTGCCATGATCAGGGACGCCTTACACTAGACCATGTTGCCCAAGTGTAAGTAGATACACTGAAAAGTAAAAGTACTTGTTTCCATAAAGTAAATAGAACTGGTGCCCAGAGCTGGGCCCAGGGCAGTAGCTGAATTCTCCAAAACTGCCAGAATTTTTTCATGTGTGTTGCTAGCAGTAAATAAGAATAAAACATTCGTTATTGAGATACCGGAATATTTAGCAGGCATTGTTTCTGCTTGCCTCTTGGGACTGCTTTTGGAAGTTTTCTAAAGACAGCAGGTTGGATCTCAGTGCACGCTGGTTGTTGTCACATCCTGCCTTCAAGTTTTGATATTCTTTTTTTAAATGGAAAGGACATACAACAATAAAGCATACGAAGGAACAGAAAACCTCTTTGAAAACAGATGATAGGAGCTTATTAATGTTTCTTGTGCAACAAATCCAAACCAGATTTTGGATTTTTCTTGCTAGATTTCAGGCTCTTTTTGGGAAATCAGGTAATTCTTTAGTGCTGTTTTCAGAAATTTGCCTCTGGTAGGATGCACTTTTTCCAGCTATGTGCTGCCTCACTTTAGATAAAGTTTTTGTCTTCAACAGCAAATAGAGTTTTAAAAAACTGTAGTAGAATTAAAAGTTGTCAGACATGAGCCTAAAAATATGTTTTTGGTTTTGTTTTTTTTTTTTTTTAGCTGGAGAGGCAGCTGCATGAAGATGAAGAATTTGCCAGAACTTTGGCCATGTTGGATGAACCACCGCAGAAGAGAAAGGTTGAATTCTTAATTCTTTTTAATTTTTATTTTTTAGAATTTGGATTACAGGGAATACTCTTACTTAGACACCTAACCTTTGGGTTAAGACTTCTATGCAAATACATTAGAAACATTAAGAAAGCATTTGTTATTTGTACTTTCCTCCTGGATTTTCCTCACTCAGTAAATAGTGTCCTTCCTAATCAGACAGCGGGCATTACTGTACCTTTGTGCTGTCTGCTTCTGTTGAAATGGAATTTTAATGCCAAGTTCTAATGGAATGAAGCGTGTTGCTGAGGATATGCTTTAGATCCACCATAGCTCTGTTGGTTCAGAACAACTAGGTTGAGTAAAATAAGTCAATGGCACAAGCTGAAGAGTGATAAAAGGAAGGAGAATACTCCCCTTGCTTTGAAAGAAGGGGAAAGGTGGAATCTTGAGAGTTTTGAGACTAACCCCAGTGGTGGGAATCTTCCCAGTTCTCATAGCTTGTGGTGTAAGGCGCAGTAAGATATTTGCTGGGTTGTACCGCAAGGCTCTTGGAATTTAGGGTTGCTAATATGAATTTAGAAAGTATTAGTAAATTTATTGTAACCTGGAAGTCTGTCTGGTCTTTGATTTAAGGATTTTATGTGCGTGGCTGAGTTCAGAATTTGCTATCTGCCTGCCTGTGATAGAGATTGCATTCTGACTTGTCCTAGAGGTCAGCTTTGTTAGATGTCATTCAGTCTGTTGTACTTAACAGTAGGAAAACTCGAGGATCTGGACTTAATAGTATCTTGGGACATGGATCTCTGACTTTGGCATTGTGTGTTTATTTAGGCTCGGAAAGATTCAGGAGGAGAGCAAACAGTGTTGAGCATCAAGAGCAGTCCTAATGTGAAAGAAAAATATAAGCAATCAGAAAGAGGTAGGATGCGGAATATAGAAAATATTTTACCAATTTATAATATTAACTAGATACATTCTTATGTATGTGCTCTCTTGCCTCTGCCTCTTTTCAAGTGAAAGCAACAACCTCACCGGGTGAAGCAGAAAATTACGCTGTGAAGCGTAATTCAGAAGGCTCTCATTTATCCCCACAGTCATCTGATGGTAGAACAGCAAGAGAACTGACAGATAAGACCTTGCCTTTGAAACCTAGCTCTAGGCTTGCGTCTCTGAAACAAAAAGAAGAGATGGCTGAAAAGGAAAAAGGTGCTCAAAGTTTAACATCAAAAGAAAAAACTGCTTCCAGGAAAGAAGAGAAGACAACACCAAAGAAGGAAAAAATTTCTCCCAAGAAGGCTGAGGTAGGAGCTGTCAAAGTGAATTTTGTTGCCAGGAAATGTCAGCCTTTTTTTTTCTTTTTGCAGGAAAATACTTTTCATTATTACTGTTTATGTGTCACTCTTGTAACTTGGTACTTTGATTCTTCTGGGCAGTTTTTAAGAATATGAATTCTGGTAAGCTTTAAGCTCCTAACAATTGTAAAACAGGAAAAAAAGCTGGAAAAGTGTTGCATGTTAATAAATTAAAAACAAGTGTTAGATCTTTTTCCTTAGGTACATAAAAATGTCTTAAACATTTTAAATGCTTGAGTTTGTTTTGTTGGTTTATATATGTGATATGTGTAGTAATTTTTTTTTTCTCTCCTGCCCAAGTCTGTAAGTCCTGAGGACTCTGAAAAGAAGCGAATCAATTACCAAGCCTACCGAAGCTTCCTTAATCGTGAGGGTCCAAGAGCGCTGGGTTCCAAAGAGATACCCCAGGTAAGTTTGGCTACACCAGAATTCTGTATGTAGAACTGGAGTGGATCATAGACATACTGTTAGAAGTGGTCTAACAAGTATCAACTAAACTGTTTAAAAACTTCTGTGTTTTTCAAATAGGAAATATGTGTTGGAAGAAGCTAAATTGTAATCCAAAGCAGTGACTAAATGTAAGGAAATATACTAAGAAATTAAATTCAGTACTTGGTTTATGAAGTCATGATAATGAATAATAGTTACTGGTCTTAAAGTTGGAAGACTGCTGTTGCTCGTTTGACTGACATTCTGTGCTTCAAGCAGAGAGTGTTATGAGTATGGTTGGTCAGGTAAACAATGTGTATTCTGTTGGTTAACTATTCCTTTTAATGGCTTTTGAACTTCTAGTACCTAGCTAGGTATGATAGGCTTATTTTTGAAGTTTATGGGGTACTTGATATAGTAGGGGGTTAAAGAAGCTCATGGTAAAGAGGTATTTGGTAGAATTGCTTCGGGTAATGGCATTTTCTGCAATGTTCTGCTTCTCAGGGAGCTGAAAACTGCTTGGAAGGCCTGACATTCGTAATTACAGGTGTTCTGGAGTGTATTGAGAGAGATGAGGCCAAGTCTCTGATTGAACGTTATGGTGGAAAAGTCACCGGAAATGTCAGCAAGAAGACAAACTATCTGGTTATGGGGCGAGACTGCGGCCAATCTAAATGTGAAAAGGTGAGTGTTCCTGTGCCTGAGCGAAAGAGAAGTGAAACTCTGAATTGTTCACATCTGACTGATTGTCAGTATCTCTGTCAGAACAAGTCAGTACTACAAATAAAGCGCATGTTAAAAGGAAAAGTTGCCTAATGTTTTAGAGCTTGGTTTTGTTTTTTATTTATATACATAAATATTTATTTATATGCATACGCGTGTGTGTATAGATGTATAAACACATTTTTCTTTGTTGGGTTGCTAAACATAGTCTTTTCTGGAAAGGACTTTTGAATTGAATTATGTAACTCCTAACTTGACTTCCCTTTTAATTCTTACTTTTGCTCTAGGCATCAGCATTAGGGACAAAAATTGTTGATGAGGACGGCCTGTTTGATCTCATTCGAACCATGCCAGGCAAGAAGTCCAAATATGAGCTGGCAGCTGAAACAGAGGTTTGTTTATTCTAAATTTAGGTTTTGGTTTTGGTCGGTTGGGTTTTTTTTTTTTTCCCTTTGGTTTGCCTTTAAGTGAAAGGCGTTTTGGCCTTCTGTCCCAGTAACACGTGTGCTTGTCTGTTTGACCTTCTGGGTTAAAAGTATCAAAAGTGAAAGTTTTCTGTTTGTGTTTAAGACTTCTTTGGAGCCATAGGGGTTTTGTTACTTTCTTAACCACTCCTGTACAGAGCTGTTTAAAGACAGCCCATTTATTTACTGTGTGCTTTTTTGCCTTTTTTTTTCTTTAATTTCCCTTTGTTACCTTTATTTTCCTAAGGCAAAGAAAGCGGAGTCAAGACTTAAAAGGACACCACAGAAAGCTGACGCTCGGAAAAGGAATTTTAGCCCCATCAAAAGGGAAGCTGATAATAAAAAATACAAGTCAACTCCTGAAAAAGGAGATACTGTCAAATCTGCCAGGAGAGAAACCACTGCTGTGCAAAAACTTACAGACTTTAAAAGGCAGACTGAAGAAAAGAAAGAAGCCTCCTGTCTGAAGGGGAACTTGGCTTCTGAGGTTAATGAAGATGGAACAGAGAGATTGCTATGGGTGGATAAATACAAGCCTGTATCTCTTAAGGCAGTAATTGGACAGCAGGGTGAGCAAAGCTGTGCCAATAAACTGCTCCGATGGCTCAGAAACTGGCACAAGAATACCTTGGAGGATGGACAAGGTGACTAGCATGGTTAACTTTTCTCTGTGTTCCTCCATGCCAATCACACTGACTAATATGGGCCTTTGAGATAGCAGAGCAGCTCTAGAAATCAGGAGTTGAGGGTTCAGTTGAATGAATTTCTAGCAGCAGTTGAGCCTGAGGTTTATTTTGGTGAAGCAGTTGTTACCTTACCACTCCCCACCCCTCAAAACAGAACAGGAAGCCATGGTTTAAAATGGCCTATTGAATTATTTGACACCAAGAGAATGCTGGCCAGTGCTAACCTGTCTGTACACACGGTGAAAATACAGGATGGCATCACGTCTAAACTGCTGCTGTCATGTGTGGGGAAGAGATGAAATTTTAAAGTCCTTGTTCTGCCTGACATGTATGACAACTCTATGTCATGTGTAGTGAGTCATCCTATAGACTTTTTTTAATTGTGTTTAAAATAGTGTTTAAGTTTCACTTCAACCATAGTGGGTAGTGGAATTTTTCTGTGGTGTGTTTGGGGTTTGGTTTAGTTTGTTTGGGTGCATGGTTTCTTTTGCTGTTCTGTGTTTGTGAGGAAATCGCTGAAATAGTTGTGTTACATTCATAGCACTTTTTCTATTTTCATTTTAGAATCACTGCAGGTCTTAAATTAAGATGGTTTAAACTGCTTTTCCTCAAATAGTTAGGATGCTGACGTATATGCATTTTTTGATGTTAATATCAGGCCCTAAATAAGGAAAAACATCCAATGATGTTTGATACCTTTAGAAGTATGCCATTTGTTTTGTAATACATACCTGGAATCTTCTTTTATAGCGAAGAACAGTAAAACTGGAGGCAAAGATGATGGTACTGGTTTTAAAGCAGCATTACTTTCTGGTCCACCTGGAGTTGGTAAAACTACTACAGCTTCTTTGGTTTGTAAGGTGAGTTCATATTGACACATGCTCCCAACATGTTCTGTTCCATATTGCTTTTGTATCTGGATACAGATACAGTGTGCAGGTGGGTATCGCTTGAATGGCCAGTGTCTCCCCTAGCCTAGTTCTGCCTGCTCAGAACAGGGTTACAGATGAAAATATGTGGAATTTTGTAGATACCTTTGTCAGGTCTGGGGTGAGAGTATAGCCGTGGGTGTCTGTTTCTGTTATATTGACAGGAAGCATGCCACAGTGTGCTGAACAACGAAAGATGGTTTACAAAAACTGAGCGTTCAGCACTAGCTCTACAAGTCGGAGAATATTTGAGCTGAGTTTAGTGGGAGTCAAATTCTGGCAGCCTTTTTGAAAGACTTGGCCATGGCTTTTATGTTGTAACAAAGAGCAGTTTCCCAGACTCATTCTAAATTCAAACAGTACTTTGGAATGAGAGAAGTTGACAGTACTCTGTGATCATTTCTAAATCTGAATTTAGAAATCATTTTCCCTAACTTACTTGAGCACTGTGTTCCACTAACTGTGTCATGAGAATCAGCTGGGACCTCCAGATTGTAGAAATGTTGTTAAAGCTGACTTACTGATAGAGCTGTTGTAACGCTTCACTGAGTATTTTTGTTCTTTGAATTACAAGAACTTGTTTAGAATATGGTATTACCAGCTGGGAAGGGTTCCAGAGAAGTATTGTCAGCTACCTGATGTATGTGCTGGGAAGGAGTGATTACTTACTGCAATATTTGAGTTGTATAGAGTAACTCCCAATCTTCTGCCTTTGCCTTAAAGCTGTGGGCCATCAAACTGATGCCGCACCCAAAACTAGACCTGCAGAAAAGCTGGATGTGCTTGCATGGGCTCATTTCTGCACTAGTGTGGTCTCTGCTTCTAGTTTCCAGCCTAGCTTGCTCACAGTTGCTTCAGGTCTTTGCAAAGCATTTCACTGTTCCCCACAGGAACATCCAACAAAACAGGGTTGTTTAAGCTGAGAGACCAAGGCTGTGTGTAGCTCACTGGAGTGCTGGGGCATGGCTCTGGCAGGGGAGTTTGTGGATAAAGGAGTGGCTGGGTTAAGCTCTTTCAGGGACTTTCATGCAGCGCAGCCCTGTTCTGAAGTGTTCAGACTGCTGGGGAGCCATGCATTTCCTAGCTGTTAAATAGTTAAAAGCTTCTCTTTTCTTCAGCTTTTTTGTGTATAAAACTTTGATATGCAGGTGGAAATACCATGGAGTTTAGGCAGCCTTGGCTTATAGTTCTGTTTCTGTCCCTGGTGGCAGTTCTGTTCATCTTCCGGAGCTAAAACTGTGCCGACTTCCTCCCTTTCCCCCAGCCCCCAAGTTCTCATTTGGGCATATCTGTGATTATGTGTGATTGTAAATATTTTTGGAGTGCAAGAGAAAAAGAGTAGAGGAGAGAAAGGAATCAAAGCCAGAAATTAGGTGTGAAAGCAGTGTTGTAAGAGCTTTCTTCTGGAACACTGAAATACTGATACTACCTCTGAGTACACGTATGCTCTTTCACTGATCTGTGCTCTCATTTTTTGTGTGGTTTTGTGTTTGGACTAGGAGCTGGGGTATAGCTATGTGGAGCTGAATGCCAGTGACACTCGCAGTAAGAACAGTCTGAAGGAAGTAGTTGCTGAATCCCTTAACAACACCAGCATCAAAGACTTCTATTCTGGTATGTCTGTTGTCTGAAGGAGGATTTTTGTTGTGTTAATAATTCGGTTACAGTAGGGACAGAACTTCCTTATTGCACAAGTGTTAGAAATTTAACTTACTCCTCACGCAGAGGGATCTGGCTCTAATAAGGATGGCTTCATTTAATAAGCTGTTTTATTTCATCTTCAATTGTAGAATTAAATCCTGCTATTAGTAGCATAAATTGTTAATCTGCACAAACTGCTTAAGAATCTGCAGTTGCTTTTCTGTTGCATGGGACTTGTTTCTTGGAAGATGACACAGTGTTATAGTCAGTTCTGTTCTCTGAACATAGATTCATGTGATCAAGTGGTAGAGCAAGAGTTTCACCACCACATCAGCTGTCTTAAGATGGGGTTACCTAACCTATAAAGCATTATGTAAAACTCTGAGCAAGTCCATATTTTATTTCCATCTCATTTTTTTGTCCATATTCATTTTCAGGCACATCTGCATCAGTTAGCGGGAAACATGTATTGATCATGGATGAAGTGGATGGTATGGCAGGCAATGAAGACAGAGGAGGGATTCAGGTGAAACTGCTATAGTTATTAGCTAATGCCATTGCTGAGAGTGCATACCAGATATAGCACTAAATATTTCAAGCCACTTTGCTGTTCTCAGCCCATGGTCCATAGAAAGTCTCTGTAGAGTAGTTTATCTGACCTCTGTTAGAAGGATTACCCGCTAGTAGAGGGGGAAAAATGATACCTCTGTAAAAGACACCTGTAGTGATGAACTTGGGTGTGTGCGCTTTTGATGTTTATTCTTGTAGAGGTTGATTGGTCCTAAAGTCTCTGTAGCTGACACCTACCTGCAATGGGAGGTTTGTAATCTGGTTGGGACAGTTGCTGTCTTTGGGAGGCAGTAACTGAATAAATAATGTGGCATAGGCAGTATTATCCTTTGTTCTCCTTAGCAGCTCCAGTTTTAGCTTCTGAAGAATTCCTGTGATCACATGCAGTACTTCGACAAAAACAGATGTTTAGTTCAGACGGAGAAATTTACATTGCAGGAATATGATATTGAACTGAATTTCACCTTCATTAGAGCAGGCAAAATTTGTTCTGGTAGGCCTAGTGATCCTGAAGCCTCAGGGCTGAGCTCTTTGGACAGGGAGGTGCTGATCTTTTTACTTCCTGCTTCTTCATTGTTTATGGCAGGGTGCTGTCAGAAAGACTGCGCTGTGCTCCCTCTGGGCATGGGCCAGGTCAGACTGGCCTTTAGACAAATGAACCTAGCTCTGCAGGTGAACAGCTCTACTCTGGGCTATTGATTGTCATTGTTTCATGAGGAACAGGCCAAACATGATTGCTGGGAGTAGATAGTGGAAGTGAGTATACAGCAGGTTTATTGCAGCTGAATAGAGTAGCAAACAGAAGTAGGAGAGGGGCTGGGTTTTCACTGTGTAGAAGCCTGATTGTAATAGGAAAAGTTCTATAGACTTGCACCCCTCAAGGGTCTGATTTAAGACAGGGATAAATGCTGCTTGGTATTACATTTCAACCATTCTTGTTTTCCGAGTTATCTGAAGTAATTGTTGTAACGTGTTTAAATCACAGGAGTTGATCGGTTTGATTAGACACACAAAGGTCCCCATCATCTGTATGTGTAACGATCGCAACCATCCTAAGATGCGTTCCTTGGTCCACTACTGTTTTGATCTTCGTTTTCAGAGACCTCGTCTAGAACAGATAAAGGTAAGAAGGCTGTGGCTGTGTGGGCTGCACTGGATTACCATCAGTAACTTTTGTCTTCATGTGGCAGAACTTGTACGAAATTGGAAACACCACCTAAAACTTAATGGCTTTTCAATATGGATTGTTTCAGTTTTTCTTCCCAAAGAATGAAATATCCCAAAGCCTTTCACATTTTAGAAGTCTATCTTAAATACATCCAAAGATAATTTATTTTTTTTTTAATGGCCATGTGCTATTTTACACCAAAAAAGGTGTAGAAGTTTTACACTTAAAAAAGTGATGGCTTATGTTTGGGATGAGTCATGGGATGACTTATGTTTGAGAGAAAGTTTAAATTACACGTGCTTTAAAAACCTAGAGGGATATGATAATGCTCTTTCATAGAGGTGTCAGTGTGTTCTGTAGGGGGAAGAACTCACAGGAATTCTCTAATGACAATTAATGTGTGTATCGCAGGGTGCCATGATGTCTATAGCATTTAAAGAAGGCTTAAAAATTCCACCACCTGCTATGCAAGAGATAATCCTGGCAGCAAATCAGGACATCAGACAGGTCAGTGCCAATTAAACATCAGTGTCTATTCAGATAGCACATAATACACACATCCTTGACTTCAGCACAGTATTTGAACAGTATCATTATGTATAGAGATGAGACTTTTTGCTGCTTGAGTCTTCCATTTAATGCTACAAAATTGTAAATTTTGTTCTTTAGGTTTTACATAACCTTAATATGTGGTGTGCAAAAGATAAATCATTGACTTACGATGAGGCTAAAACTGATGCCAGCAGAGCCAGGAAGGATATCAAACTGGTAAGTGTAAAATACTGGATTGGCTTTTACTGTTATGTATTCTAATATAATCACTAAGCTTTATAAGCATCTTCTAAAGCGCTGACAGCCTAGATGCAGGGAGCTGTAAAATTGGCAAAGACAGGTGAGAAACAGTAAATCCAAGAGTGAGTATATATTTTGATGTTGGTCGCTTACGTAAGATGCAATTACGAAGCTCGTATTGCTCATCCTAAGTCCTCTATATAAGAGATAATTCTCTTAATATCAGAAGTAAACCAGAATTCTCAAAACTGCTGAAGTGCTAGGAAGGAAATACTGAGCATTGAATTTGTACTGATGAGTCCAGGTGTTGTTGAGTACCATCACTAAAGTACTTTTGTTGATATTGAGCTGTGTCTTACTGTTTGTGTTGACCTGCAACCCGCTGATGTTGTGAAATACCATTTACTTAGGGCCCTTTTGACGTTGTCCGGAAGGTTTTTGCTGCTGGAGGTGAGGCTTCTTGTATGTCTCTCATAGACAAATTGGATCTTTTCTTCCACGATTATTCCCTAGCACCTCTCTTTGTCCAAGAGAACTACGTACATGTGAAACCGGCTGCTGCGGGGTGAGTTATTCCATACCCAAATTGACATAGGCTTTTGTGTCGGAGCGTAAAACTAGACTAAAACCTGTCTGGGTATTTCTGGTTTGTAATACAGTCAACTTGGGTTTTTTCCAGAGGAAATCTGAAAAAGCACTTGGTGCTCTTGAGTAAAGCAGCTGATAGTATCTGTGATGGTGATATAGTGGACAGACAGATTCGTAGCAAGCAAAACTGGAATCTTCTACCAACACAGGTGAGCACAGCACTCATGTCCTTTATTGGTGTCCAGTATAAAAGGCTGATCTGTTGATGTTTCAGTATAATTTGTATGACCTGTGAAGTTCATGCTTCATGCAGTGTTGCCTGTGTTGCTGGTGAGAGCAGTTTCCCATATTCATATTGTTGAACCCATACTCTTATCTTGAGATGAAGTCTTCTGAGACTTCAAAAACCTTGTCCCATCGTTCTGAAGCATAGGAGCATGTGGCACACACCACTTCTGGTGTGTAGCTATGAGCCTACTCTGTTTTACGTGCTTCCTATCCCAGCCTCTCACCGGGGTAGTATCTCCCAAAGCACAAAGGATTGAAGCTTTGTCACTGTACTCTTCACTGATCACTGAAACATTGAAAAGACTTGTGCTTGAAAGCTTATCACTGGCATCAGAGAATGTACCACAGATGAAGCAGGAAGGGATCTCCAGAGTGCATGTAGTTCACCCCATGTTTAGCACAGGTGCAGACTGATAAGTTGCTTAGGAACCTGCCTGGCTGAGTTTGTGTAGATTCGTGGTGTTCTTCAGAAATACCTCCTTCACCACGCCTGTCTCTTGGAGATGACAGCAGTTATTTGCATGGTCAGCTGTTTGTCTGACTGCATTCCTTACTGGATGTGAGAAACAAGGATGGTCTTTTTTTCTTTAAATGACTTTTAAAACAGAGATAATTTTGCAGATATTTTAGAGCATGGTAACAGATGGGGTGGTACAAGAGATGAAGTTGTACCCTAAGAATGGTTGAAGAGAAACAAGCAACCAAGAAAGAGTTCTCTTAAAATAAGCTGGAACTGTACTACTTGAGGGGTGACCTTATTAGTGTATATAAATATATAAAGGGGGAGTGTCACGAGGATGGAGCCAGGCTCTTCTCAGTGGCAAACAATGATAGGACAAGGGGCAGTGGGTACAAACTGGAACACAAGAGGTTCCACTTAAACTTGAGAAGAAACTTCTTCTCAGTGAGGGGGACAGAACACTGGAACAGGCTGCCCAGGGAGGTTGTGGAGTCTCCTTCTCTGGAGACATTCAAAACCCGCCTGGACACGTTCCTGTGTAACTTTATCTAGTTGTTCCTGCTCCGGCAGGGGGATTGGACTAGATGATCTTTTGAGGTCCCTTCCAATCTCTAGCATACTGTGATACTGTGATACTCCCTTCTGTGCAGACAAATGGGGTTGTACATCATTGTGTCAGTGAGACTAATTCACTGTGGTTTGAGCTGGGCATGTGTGTTACTTTTTCAGGCTATTTATGCCAGTGTTCTCCCAGGGGAGCTGATGAGAGGTTCCATGTCCCAGTTTCCTGTCTTTCCCAGCTGGCTGGGGAAGTTTTCATCCACGGGTAAACATGATCGTATCATTCAAGAACTGGGAATGCACATGAGTCTCAGGTACTACCGACCTTCTTTTGGTTTATATCAAAAACACATTTAGTTCTTGTCTGGTTCGTTGCCTGCCATTAATTCTGTGCTGTGCTTGGCACAGACTTAATGTACAATCTGTGAAAATGCTCCTGTGTTGCTGGTGACACTTTCTTAATGTTTAATCTGGGCAACAGTCATACTGCAAATATTTCTAGTTAAGCCAGTAGCACTGTGACTTCCCTCTGCCCTGAAACTACTGTTTCTCAGTCAGTCTCAGTTTCCCCAGACTGGTGTTTGAATACCTCATGTCATCCCTAGTGCAGGTATGGCAGGAGTGGCACAGTACCACTTGCAGTTAGCTTTCAAGGCAGCTGATTGTCTATTTGCTGAGGGCCTTACCTACAGGTAGCTTGTGTTTAGAATTGAGTAGTGGCGGTGTACACATCCACTTACTAATTTTAATTTGACAAAGAACCCAGGCATGCAAGAGGACAGTAAACATGGAGTATTTGTCGTGCTTGCGGGATGCGCTTGTCCAGCCCTTGAAAGACTTTGGAGCAGATGGTGTACAGCAAGCTATAACCTTCATGGACTCTTACTGCTTGATGAAAGAAGATGTTGACAATATCATGGAAATAAGCATGTGGGGAGGCAAACCCAGTGCTTTCTCAAAGCTGGATCCCAAGGTAAAACTGACTAGTGGTTTTTTTTTTCTTTGGTATCTTTAAAAAGAAATCATAGAATAATAGCTGTGGTATGGATGTGCTGCTGAAAGGCTGAAGTAGGTGCAGCTGCTTAGTAACTGTAACCTAATTAATAGTAGTCTGTAAATCAGCTGTCAAACATACTACTAAAGGTTCAGGGGTAGGTCCTAAAATATAGTGAGGCCTGATTCATTAGGGAATCTTATGCCTGTTGTTCCTGGTGTAAAGCTGTGCTAGGAGTCAGCTGTGTCTGGGGCATGGAAGGAACAGGGAATGCTTTGCCTTTCTACGAGGTAGCCCCTGCCTATAAGCTGTATCAGCCCTTCATGCACAGCACAGCACTGCCTTACTCACCAGCGTGCAAAGGAGAATGGATGCACCACATTTGTTATGGTGTGGGCACTGAATTAGGAGCCTGCTTGCAGCTTGCATCTCTCACAGTCCAGTTAGACTGAACTGCCCAACCTGGGGGGAATTTTGTAGTGCCGCTCCAGTATCCACCTATTCCACTCCAGTAGCTGAGACCCTCATGCCGTATAAGGTGAGCTTAAGCTGAGGTCCCTACTACAGACTAGGCAGGTGCAAGAGCTGAACCATGGTCTCCCCATCCCAAATCAAGTGCTTAGGGAAAGAGAAGGATTTTCCCTGTGATAACTAAAGCAGTACTACTGTTGGGTGCTTGGACCTTGTCTGCATACGCTGCTCCAGCATGACAGGTGTCCAGTGCTGCCGAGAGTGCTTTGGTGCGTGTGACTTGTTGGGGGCAGCAGAACAAGTGTTGAAATTATTGGAGGACTAAGCAACAATCATCTGAAGATGCATGCTCTAGCTAAGGATTATGTGGGACTCAAAATGAGCCTTCACCGTACAGCTCTTAGATGTTACGTCCTTTCGAGATAGTGTCCTCCTCTACATATCTTTCTTTGGCCACACCTTCTCAAAGGAAAGACAATGTGGAATCTCTAGCCAGGAGTTGGTCAGCCAACAGTCTGCAGTTCCTAAGCGGATGTTCATAGTGTTTCCTTCCAACCTCACAGGTCAAAGCAGCTTTTACACGTGCTTACAACAGAGAGGCGCATCTGACTCCATATTCGCTTAATTCTGTCAAGATCTCTAGAAGGCAGTCAGGATCTGTGTCCACCTTAGAAATGAACGAAGACTTTAATGTGGAAGAGATCCAATCTGATGAGGAGGAGCAAGATACAGTTGACAGTGACGCAATGATTAAGGTGACTTAGTTTGTACAGTGTAAAATTACCCCACTGAACTGTGTTTTTTTTCTCTTAATTACATTTCTAGGACTTGGACCATCATCTGAATGAAGGGGGGGGGACGGGGACATTACAGTAGATGCTGAATGCATCATTGCTCAACTTTTAAATTCGCAACTAGTGACAGTGTGAAAAAGTCAAAGTTATTTCCATCCATTGCTTTCTGCCTGAGTGTTGGTTCAGAGTGAGGTGTCACTGAGAACTTGTGACTACTGCATCCAATTCCAAAACTTAGTAGTATTTTAAGTGTTGGTGGGGATGGTGCCATTGGTAAGGAGCAGCCACAGGTCTCTGCATATGGTTATCCCAGATGATAGTTCTAGTAGTGTCCTTTGTACGTATTGCCAAATCAGGGAGCTGTGGTCAGCCCTCAGGACTGAATATTGTAGTCTGTATGCCCCATGGCATTTAAACTTTATACCTCAAAGGGGAGCAGAAGGAAAGAGACTCTTTTCTTTTATCCCGACAGCATTTTGACTTGTGCTTTTGATAGGTTGCAGTTGAATTTAAACCTGTCTGCACATTCTGTTTTACAGCAAAAAAAGGTGAAGTCATCTTCCAAGCTGCCAAAAAAAGAGAAAAATGAAGAAATGACAAAAAAAGAAGGGAAAAGAAAAGAGAAAACAAGACATTAAACAGTAAAAAATCTTGCTCTGGATGCAGTTTTGTTTATCTGACTTGTGGCAGGACCATGACATGTATCCAGTGCTGGAGCTGGGAAGGTATAACCGGTGTGTTGAAAATGCTCTTGTAGAGGTGATGTAAGTACTGCACTCTGGCGCTGCGCTGTGTGGTACTACTGTTAACATGCTACAACATTACAAGCCATTAACTAGCCTTGTGCAGCAGACACTGAGGTGCATGACCAGAACAAAACCGTGGCCCTTAGTTACCTGGCATCTATGCTGAGTCTTCCTAGGACTTCTCTGTTTGGTTTTGTTTCTTCTTTTTTATAACAAATCCCCTGATGTTATGTGGGGAACTCTTGTAAATGATGCACCACCCCAATACAACACCCCACCCCCCAAACCTAAATGGTGTCTTTGTACATTATAGTAATTAAGCAGAGTATAAAATGGCAATAAAATGTTTTACAGGAGTCTTTTAAAGCTTTGGTTAAGTTCGTGGAGTGTTGTCTTGCCTTCTCTTTGCCTCAGGGTTTTGGCTTTCCTTCACATACAGGATGTGGTGTTATTCTTTTCCTGCAACTTCCCTTTGTTCAGTCAGAAGCACAGAAAAGCAGTGAGCGGTTTAGTTCCAAAACATGGGGAGCTTGTGCTTGTATGAGTTGCATCTTTAATCAAAACCAGAAAAGAATACTTTAAGAAATGTTTAATAGAAAATAGTCATAAAAGTTCAGATCTGATGTTGAAGAGAGAGATGCCTTGGGGGTTTTGCCACTCCTGTAACACAGAATGCCCCTTGGTTTCTCTCTGGTGTAGATAAAGTACACATCTGGCTTGGTAAGAAGAATTATCAATCAATTTTATTACTATAACAATCAAAGTACAAAATTTATCAAAAGCTAAATATTTACAGGCTATCGTAAAATAAAGTGACATGTGGTTGCTACTAAATCCTAGAGGGAAGAGATGTGTGATGCAGTGATGGAGCTTTCCTTGTTGCTTGCCAGACAAGACATGGCTTTCTGAAAGAAAACAGAGGTGGTCAGTCAGACTGTGATAGCAAACAACAGCTTTCTGAGACTAGGAGAAAAAAGTTTATTATTATATATGTAATTCATAGTATCATTTGTGCATTACTCTGACCTGTAGGTAAGTATTCATAGACTGTGTTTGCCTTCAAATGTTAAAATTAATGAGGAATTTCTTTAGCTCCTTTTCAGTTAGCATTTCTTTAACTAAAAGTGCAGTCTTGGATCAAAGTGCCCAGCACAGACAGAGCAGTGGTGTCATTTTTCACTTTGAAATACAAGTATGTCCAGCCAATACTATGTTGCTGTTACCCTCTGATTATATTCTGTTAAACACAGAAGCTAAGATCATGTAACCTGCATTTTAAGATTTGCTCCTTCCAGTTAGCATCTCTCTCTTCCTCCACTTAAAGACTTGTTGGTAGCTCTGCAGAAACCTTTGATGCTGCTGCAATCTCCAGCCTGTTCTCGCTGCTGCTAAAGCCCAGCTGGTGTTCAGGAGAAACATGCCACAGATGATATCAAAGAGGTAAAGCGGTTTAAAGCCTCACTCCCGAAATGATTTAACAACCAGGTTAGCTGCAGTAGCAAAACCTGCTGGTGTCTGCATGCCTGACAGCAAGGAGGCAATAAAGCTGGGTCTCTGGTATCCGAGGCACAGACCCAGGCTGTAAGTTAGATCCCTGAACACTGCACTTCCCTTGCTGGGAGACACTCTCCATCCCCCCCTAGAATGAGCCCCATTAAGTATAAAAGTACAGGCTCTAGTACATACCTGCATTATTGGTCCCCATTTTCTGGTGTGAGATACTGTGTGCAATCAGTTATTTTCTTAAGATGAGCAACATCAATCCTTTCAGAACACATTGGACATGTGTTTTCAGTCTCTAACATGCTGTTTCAAAAGAAGGGTGATGAATCAGATGAGAATTCTAGCAATGTTTTCCTAAGGAAGAGCCAGGCCTGAAGCAGAAAGCACAAAGCTAAGTTCTGACCTGTGCTATGTAACAAATACAGGCCAGAGCAATAGCAATTACAACATATACAGAGAAGAGCATGGAGTTTCTGCAGCTTCACAGTTCTAACATCTGAAGAAGAGCTATCCTGTCCCATTCCCACATGGGTGATTATCAGGGATGAGAGGCTGTCGCTGCCTTAGTCTGCACTAGTATTGTGTGTATTTGGTTTTGGTGACTGCTGCTGTGCCCATGTTTCCCCTGCCCCACATCAGGTTGTCTTCCTGGAAGGAGCTGAGAACTTGCACAAGTCCATCCATCTCTGGTCGTGGTGCTGCAGCCCTGCGTTCTGGTAGAGTTCCTTATTGCAGTTTTTGGTCCACTTTGAAGCCATGTTCTGTATGTTAGGTGAGGCTACCAAGTAAAGGGATTCCTCTTCTACCCCAACCCAGCTGTTACCTGGTTTGAGTACCAAATGAAGCAGTTTGCTGCTAAAATATGATCGAACATTGGAGTCCTACAGTAGAAAAAAGATCTCAACTTACTTTTTGAATTCTGAATAGAGGGCAGGGAAGTCGCAGTGCGGGCAGACTGTCCAGTCATCTTGCACCATGTGGCGACCCTGCAGGCAAAAGCCTCAAGTAATTAAAAGGCACTGTCTGGCCTACTACCTGGGCATTTAGTTTTGTACCCGTTCCTGTGGAAAAAGTCTCAGCAACTGAGTTCTAAATATCTTGAGGAATTGAAACCCCAAATGATGTTACTGGTGTTGGGTTCCTGTGTAAAGCCTGTCATGAGAAAGCAGCTCTCGGCGAGACAGTGTTCTCATTGTAATCTGCATTCCTCTCAAAAAAGGAAATCTTAAGAGTGTATTGAATCACAACTTTTAAAACGATTTGTTTAGCAATTCTAGACTGTCACCTGTACGTATGTCTAGAGCCGCACAGAAGGTACTGGGATTCCTGGTGTTACACGTGATGGCAGCCCTGAAGCCACATCACCTGAGCCCAGGAGGTCATTTTTAGTGCTGTCACAAATGTGAGCATAGTGAGTGCCTGGTAATTGCCTCTTTAAACAGATGTGATTCCTCATTCGGGGTATGGTTTATTAATTTGCTTTTGATAGCAAGAATTCGTATGTACCTTTTCAATCCTAAAAACACACAACAGCACTTTGAACTATGCATAGAGATTTATGCTCTAGTACAGTATGAAACGTAGACTGTTTACGCTGACTCTCATAGTTTGAAAATGCTGTGTTCCTAATGATGCTACCAATACCTGTGATGTTAATAAGCTATAATCAAGCTGGAGCCTAAATAAATGGCGTGAAATACAGATGAGTATGTACATCATTTGGCTCATAAAGCTGTGTTTAAAAGCCTTGTTTTATTTTGTGAAGATAATACTTCTAAAATACACTGGTTATCTTACTCTGTTAAAACAAGAGTAACTAAAAACAGGTAATTGCTCCTACTCTTTCTTTTTGTAAGATTTAATTCCTTTGTTTTAATAAAGAATGATAACTCCAACACTGGATTCCTGAGCAAGTAAATTCTCATTTTTTTTCTTGTGATTCTAGCATGACACTTGAACCCAATGGAAATAGTGTAAACTATATAGTAGCTAACCTCAGCCTAGAGATTTTGTACTCATGCTGGTACCAGTAGGATGCATGGCTCTTCCATGGGGAAAGGCACTGCACCCGTACCTTTCCAGTATGCTTTAAAGTATCCTGAAACAAAAAAAACCCCTCATTTCTGTAAGGCCCAGTACTAGTCAGTGGCTGAACTAGTTCTTGATCTTGGAAGTGCCAAAAATTCTGCTACACACTGGGTATTCCCCCAAACAGGTTTTGCAGTGGTTTGGTTATAGGTGTGTTTTGTTTATCTGAAGTCTTGGCAGCCTTGAGTTCAGGGGAGGAGAGCTGTGCCCTCTGCAAGCATCCTGCACATGGAAGAAGAAAGGGGAGATTCTGTCCTTGCTGTTACTGCTCTGAGCACTGGAACACTTGAGCAAAGGGCTGAGCTAGGCGGGCACCAGCTGCACAATTCTGTTTAATCACAAAACCATTATCTAGCTTGAATTTACCAGCAAGCTTTGTTCAGATGACCTTAGTTTTAGAAGGAAAGAGCAGCTCTGCATTTCTGCTCACAGTGCAGAGATGCAGCAGATACTCACAGTTGCAATACAGTATGGGAGATTGTTCTTGCAGCTGGGACACAGAAGTTCACACTCCGGGAGCTGGAAAGCACAGTAGGGACAGGCTGTTGTTGGCTCTTCTACCACTGTTGTGCTTGGGTGTCTAGAAGAAACATGCAAAAGTGGATAAAAACCTCAAGTGCTTTGAACTTGACCAAAGATGTTTTGCAATGCCTTTAAGATTTAGCAAGTGGTTTTCCTTTGAGTTAGTTGCGGAGCTGCCAGTTGCTATGTTGTATTTGACCAGGTAATTCCTTTTAACTGTCACACAAGCTTCATTGCAGTTATGTAAATTCAAAAATATGTAACTTTCCATCTAATTTGAAACTATACAACTTTTTTAAAGCTGTAATGGGTCATAATACTTTGAAAGCTTTTGAAACTCATGTGTAAAGCTACAGTTTCTCTATTTCAGTGTTTTTCTGTGGCAGAAGTGACCACAGAGAATTGAAGTAACAAGAAATAAACAGGCATCTGGGTAGGATTAAACAGGTTGTACCACTGCCTTTCCCATGCTTGTTTCATCCCCATGTGTCTCTCAGAATGATGGTCCTGATCCAGACATGACAGCACCTGGGTTAAGGAGTTGGACCTTTTTTCAGATTTCATGTGTGGCCTTAACTTTCAGTCATTTATGGAACTTTTATAGACAAAGAGCTTGGATTCACTTTTAGCATATTTTCTAGTGAAGAGGATAGTTCCTAATGTTTAGCCTAGTAACCCTGGAGAGCATTCGGTGGCTGCCTTAGTTACATTGATACTTTGTAGAAAGCCTAATTTCTCATTTTATAAGCCTGGACATGTATGTTTCCCTTGCAGTCTAAGGTATGAAGAAACCTGTTTCATAGATC